AGCAATCATTCCATGTGAGCATACAATATAAATATCCACACTCCCTTTGTTCTATCTTCACCACAACACAATCAATAATCAAAACACAGAGATAATAAATCTTCAAAAATGGAAACGGCCTCGTCGTCTAACTTCACTCTCTCCCATATCCTCAACACGGAGGAACCGTACAGCTCACTCATGCTCGCCGTGGCTGGTGTCCTCGCCGTCCTCTGTTACTTCTGGATTCAGGGCAAGTCCAATTCCAAAAAGGAACCACCGTTGCCTCCGGGACCATGGCCACTTCCGATCGTCGGAAACCTCCCTTTCCTAAACTCCGAAATCCTCCACACTCAATTCCAAGCCCTAACCATAAAACACGGTCCTCTCATGAAGATCCACCTCGGATCAAAGCTCGCAATCGTTGTCTCTTCACCGGACATGGCTCGTGAGGTTCTTAAAACCCACGACATCACTTTCGCCAACCACGACCTCCCTGAAGTCGGAAAGATCAACACTTACGGTGGTGAAGACATCCTCTGGTCTCCTTACGGTACTCATTGGAGGAGACTTCGTAAGCTCTGCGTCATGAAGATGTTCACTACACCAACACTCGAAGCTTCTTACTCCACTCGCCGTGAAGAGACAAGACAAACTGTTGTGTACATGTCGGAAATGGCTCGTGAAGGAGCTCCGGTCAACCTCGGAGAGCAAATCTTTCTTTCGATTTTCAACGTTGTTACAAGAATGATGTGGGGTGCGACTGTTGAAGGAGAGGAGAGAACAAGCTTGGGAAACGAGCTCAAAACCCTAATCTCTGATATCTCAGATATCGAAGGGATTCAAAACTACTCTGATTTCTTTCCCTTGTTCGCAAGATTTGATTTTCAAGGTTTGGTTAAGCAAATGAAAGTCAATGTGAAGAAGCTCGATCTTTTGTTCGATAGAGTTATGGAGAGTCATGTCAAGATGGTTGGTAAGAAAAGCGAAGATGAAGAAGATTTCTTGCAATACTTGCTTAGAGTTAAAGATGACGATGAGAAAGCTCCTCTCTCCATGACTCATGTCAAGTCTCTACTCATGGATATGGTTCTTGGTGGTGTAGACACATCGGTGAACGCATCGGAATTCGCCATGGCAGAGATCGTAAGTAGACCGGAAGTGTTAAAGAAAATCCGACAAGAATTGGATCAAATTGTTGGCCAAGACAAGATTGTTGAAGAATCACATTTGCCTAAGCTTCCTTATCTACAAGCTGTCATGAAAGAGACTCTTAGGCTACATCCTACGCTTCCTCTTCTTGTCCCTCACCGAAACAGCGAAACCTCGGTGGTTGCCGGATACACTGTGCCTAAAGACTCCAAGATTTTCATCAATGTTTGGGCGATTCATAGAGATCCTAAGCATTGGGATGATCCAAACGAGTTTAAACCGGAAAGGTTTTTCGAGAACTCGCTTGATTTCAATGGAGGTGATTTTAAGTATTTGCCTTTTGGATCCGGGAGGAGGATTTGCGCCGCGATTAACATGGCCGAGAGGCTTGTTCTCTTCAACATTGCCTCACTTATCCATTCTTTTGATTGGAAAGCTCCTAAAGGACAGAAGTTTGAGATTGAAGAGAAGTTTGGGCTTGTTCTTAAGTTGAAGTCTCCACTTGTAGCTATTCCTGTTCCAAGGCTGTCTGATCCGAAACTCTATGCAGCTTAAGTAAGTAACAAGGAATGTTTGGTTCGGGGAAGTTGTTTTTCATGTTATTTTGTTGTGGGAGTTTAATGATTTGTAAAAAGAATATGTCAAACGCATGTCTGATAATATAATAAACTTTTTATTTGTGTATTGTTTACCCAAATAGCCGGTTCCATAACCGATGGTTGCAATTCCATTCTTATCCATGGGCCGTAAATTATACATGTAGTATAGTATATATATCATTACGATTGTTGTTGGTTTGTGTTGAAATACAATAAGTGCTGTTGGTCGAGTTTGGATATTATAACTATCAAAATACAAAAACTCAAAACCTTTTCTACTTGTCATCGGTTATGATGATGATGTATACTTAATTGTTCAAATCACACAAGTGACGTATACGTCAATTATCAAGCGAGTTCAAATCACACAAGTGACGTCTATTATTCAAATCCTACTTCTTTAGAAAAATGTTTAGGATGAGCTTCCTAAACAAGTAAAAATTCTTTTTAAACTTATTTTTTACTAAAGTTTTATACTTGTTTAGTAAGATCATTCTAAATAAATGAAAATCCTTCATAAACTTATTTTTAGGAACATTTCCTACTTGTTTAGGAATGTGTTTAGGAAGACCTTCCTAAACAAGTGAAAATCCTTCGAACTTATTTCTAGGAAGATTTCCAACTTGTTTAGGAACGTGTTTATTAAGGTCTTCCTAAACAAGTGAATATCTTTCCTAAACATTTTTTTTTAGAAAGTTCCTTACTTATTTAAAAGTGTGTATAGGAAGGTCATCCTAAACAAGTGAAAATCATTCATAAACTTATTTCTAAGAAAATTTCCTACTTGTTTAGGAAGGTGTTTATGAAGACCTTCCTAAACAAGTGAAAATTTTTCCTAAATTGTTTTAAGAAGGTTTTTTACTTGTTTAGAAAGACCTTTCTAAACAAGTGAAAATCCGTCATAAACTTATTTTTTTAAAAGTTTTATACTTGTTTAGCAAGACCTTCCTAAACACGTGAAAATCCGTCCTATAGTTTTTTCAAGAAGGTTTCCTACTTATTTAAAAAAGTGTTTTAAAAGGCTGATATATTGTGATTTTGTGCATTCCCATAGTCTATATTCATATGTAGAGGTGGGCATAAT